GCTGTGCATTGTACAGAGGATGTTTAAATTCGCCCAACTAATAAGTAATGGAATTTCACATTTAGTTTTGTAGCAGTTTTGTGTATCACAGACTTGTAAGTTATGCGCCGTTTTACTTAATTACCTAGTTATTTATCAACCTGTTTAGAATGTAACTTTATGCACAGTGTTAGATCTATAAAATGTAGTTCTCCTTGTATAGTTGTAGTTAATTATTATACAGTGTGGCCCGTAAACACGATCAAACGAGTTCTACGACATTCTTTGGCTCAAAACGACCATCTGATCTAACTTTTCTTAATAAAAAATGCCTGTCTCCTCTGCTGGTCAAGCAGACACCCATAAAATTTGCAATGCAAATGTTCGGAACCAGCAACATTAAAACAACATCTGGAGAAAGAAAGGAAAACTTCAGAATCCATCTGAAAGCGCATACAGAAAAAGAGTACAAGTAAGAAATTTGAGAAAATATATACTTTAATTGCATAAATTTGTCTGCAAATTTGACACCATATTCAAACCAACTACCGTTTTAATGTTACATTTGCCATAAAAAGGTCAAGCGAAGAAAGCATTACGGAAACTCGGACGAGTTCACTTTGCAGCATCCACTTAATTAGCCAGAGGCCACTTAAAAATCCAGAAAAACTCCCTATTTTTGTGCTTTATGATCTGGAAGAAGTTTGGAAGTGGTCGAAAATTGGAAAAATAATAATCGGTTTACATGCATCCATAGCGCTCAGAATTGTCCGTTATGGCTCTTCCTTGATCCTTTCCAAAAAAATTCCACCATAAAGAAAAATTTCGTAATTTCACCAAAAGATCGTAATTTACCTTTTCGAATGCTTAAGTATTCCAATAGGCTCCCAATCAAACGTGGGACCTTTTCAAAATAATGCTTAATAACAAAGTTGAAATTCGATTTTCCACTGTTAATTTCTTCTTGAAATTTTCGAAAAAAACTATTTCAATATTTTTCTCGTACTCTCTAAGTGGGCCCCTATATACCCTTAAAACGAATGACGCCAATGTTGAATCACCCTGTATGAAGACTCATTCAGATATCCGTCCCTTTCAATGCGATAGTTGCCACTCAAAATTTTAAACAAATCTCGTATTAAAGCTCAACCAAAATAGGCATAAGGGCCTAGGAGGGCAGTAAGAGTGCAAGATTTGGAATAAAAATATTTCTATATTCTTCAAATTTTCACACTCATTTCCAGACTCATTTGGGCCAACGCTCTTATGAGTGCGAGTTTTGCTGTACAAAATACCACCAAAAACAACAGTTAAAGTCAAATTCACATACGAAGGAAAAACAGTACAGATGAAAGGTTTGTAGCAAATAATTTTTACATGAAATTTAAATAAATTTAAATCTTCCTTAATTCAGAATCTTATATAGGAAGTTCTTAACGCATTGATACAAACGACATTATGAATGCCAAATTTATGAATTTCAGATCGGATACCGACAATCTTAGCTCAGTATATCATACATTAATTAAATGAAATAAACATAGAATATTAACTAACACCCGGTATATTGAAGAATTTTGCAAACCAAAAATAATATCCTCAGAATGCAAAGAAAAAGAAAATAGCTGAAAGTAAAAGAAATCAATATAAACAGTATTTTATTCGTTTGTTGTCCGATAATGGACAAAATTAATACTCCAAATGCATGCCAAGGCTTAAAGCAGAAACAACGCTACACATGTAAGTAAAAATAATTAAGTATCTGAACGAAGAATTCTAGTCTCTTCCCAAATTTGATTGTCCTGACTAATCACCTGTTA